ACCCTGTGAGTGGCACGACACTCTCCGCTCTACTCTCTCCGACCTCGGGTTTGAGCCGTCTTCCGCCGACCCGTCGCTGTTTGTTCGTCGTGGCCGTACACCTTTCTTCGTCCTAGTCTACGTTGACGACTTGGTTTTTGCCACGGCCGACACAGCTGCACTGGCGGAGGTGAAGTCCGAACTGCAGAAGAGACACACCTGCACTGACCTTGGGGAACTGCGCCGCTACCTTGGCCTGCAGATCTCCAGGGACAGAGCCGCTCGCACCATCACTCTCACTCAGTCACATATGGTGCAGCAGGTTCTTCAGCGGTTCGGGCTTCAGGACTCTTCTCCTGCCCCCACTCCTCTTGCTGTAGACCACAGACTCACTGGGCCTTTTCCTGACGAGCCGTTCGAGCCCAGTGGTCCCTACGCAGAGCTGGTGGGCTGCCTCATGTACCTGATGACGTGCACTCGCCCGGACCTCGCCTTCCCCCTTAGCATCCTGTCTCGCTTTGTTGCGACTGGGAGACACCGTCCTGTTCACTGGGCGGCGGCTAAGAGGGTGGCGAAGTACCTTGGCGCGACATCAGGCATGGGGCTTGTACTTGGAGTGACACAGCCAGTTGTACTCACCGGTCACTGTGACTCTTCCTACGCTGACGACGTTGAGACTCAGAGGTCTACGCAGGGTTACTGTTTCAGCCTGGGTTCTGGAGCTGTTTCGTGGAGGTCTACTCGGTCCTCCTCTGTTGCGACTTCTACCGCAGAGGCCGAGATCTACGCTGGGGCCCTTGCTGCTCAGGAGCTACGCTGGTTGACCTTTTTGCTCACTGACCTTGGTGAGCGGCCGAGCTCTGCACCGAACCTGTTTGCTGACAACAGGGCGATGATTCTCCTGTGTCGTGAGCCTCGACTGGAGAGCCGAGTGAAGCACATCGACGTCAGGTACTTCCTCCTTCGAGAGTTGCAGAGACGCGGACAGGCTCGTCTGGACTTTGTGGCCTCCGAGGCCAACACTGCAGACATCTTCACCAAGGCCCTCCAGCCTTGTGACCACCGTCGGTTTTGTCTGCAGTTAGGCCTCGTTGAGACTGGGTCTAGTTGACTGCTATAGGGTGCTCTTTGTCTGTTGCTTGCTTGTACCTTATATATATATTTGTTTGCACACTTTTGGACTGGCCTTGTGGCCCTTTGCTCGTGCTCAGATTAGGTGGTGACGTTGTGATCCACCCTGAGCTTTGTTTTCTTTCTCTTGTTTTTGACTGGTCTTGTGACCGTAGGTTGCTTGTTGTTGATTGGCCTTCCCCACTTAGGCTATGGGGGTGTGTCAAATATTATAGCCTGTAGTGGGTTGGGCTATATGGGGTACAACTAGTTAGGGTTAGGTGATGTACCCCAATTCTGTCAACACAACGCATTCCGCTGTAGTTCTCATTCTGACAACTTTCTATCAGGTTTGTGCGAATTTGGGTGCAGGGGTTGAGCATCTTGTGTACAGATATCTGTGTCAAAGGCAGCAACAAGAAGACCGAGGCCGCATGCTACTGTACACCAAGAAGACAGTCCACATTATTTACATTGATACAGTAATCTGGAGAGTGATAATGGACAGTGACAGAATAACCACTGAACTGAACATCGGATCAGAAATCCATCATGAGACTGCACCGGGAATTGTGAGCAAACCCGTAATATAGACACTAGTAGTGAGAACTTCCCTCCCTCTTGTTCATCTATGAAACGGCCTCTTTCTTTGCATGAGGTGTTGTTCATATGGTGTATGTGACAGCGTGAAACGCGCTGAGGTCGACTCTTGAAACCGTTTGCCGATTTGACTTTCCAGCGAGCATAAGTGGAGATGTTCACACTTCCAACGACTTCTAGAGTGGCGCGACTACCACTGCTTTGAAGCTTCCACCATAGATTTATGCTTCCTAGATACTTTCCATCTAGACCTCGAGGCTTCCAGGCGTTTAGACATTCAACCTTCCAGCCTTCCAGGCCATGGTGGCCTGGAAACCTCCTCTCTCCAGATCCGTGATGAGCCGCGCGATCGTCAGCCTGAAAAAGAAACGTGATTCCTGGTTTCGACCGAACATGGCTTGCGCTACCAATCCATGGCGGATCGGCTACAGCCGCGCCGCGATCCAGATATTCCTGATAGCGTTTTTCGCGCTGAACGCCGTTCTCGCTTGTCTCTACGCGACGGGGTTTTTTACGAGCGAGTCACTGGAGAAGCAAAAGGAGGAGATCGTGCATCTATGGCAGTCATGCATCTACAACCGCTTCGCGCACATCCATAGATTTCAACACCCCTTCCTCCGCCCCGAGCCGTGTTCCGAACTCACTATGGCCGCCGCGAAACGCGGAGAAGCAGGCTTGAAACGAGTGCGATACTCGAGAGTCCCTGGTTACTACCACCCGGATATTGTCGACGGGTGTGCTTCTAGCGAAAGATCGACGGATTCGACGGATTTTTCTGGAAGATCGACGGAGGGTTGTCAGCTCGAGTGGGTAGTGTACTCCACAGAGTGCGGAGTGAATCTGAACCGTCTAGCTAAGCTCTGCCACGTGGCAGGAATCCCGCTAGCCGTGGTCGGGCTGAAGACGATGTGGAGGGGATTCGGTGGCAGGCTCAGGATTTTCAGGGACTATCTGCATTCCTTACCGGCTGACAGGATAGTAATTGTCTCCGACGCTGATGACGTGTTCGTACTGCCAGCTCAGCACTGCCGTCCGGTTGACATCATCCATAAGTTTCTGGATCTGGGTTCGCCGATGGTTTTCGGCTCGGAAAAATACTGCTTTCCTGATTGGTGGCTCTATCAAGATTTGTACCCGAAGCCGTCCCGAGATACCCCTTTTAAATACGTGAATGCTGGCACGTATATGGGCTTCGCATGGGCTATCGCGAGCGCCATTGACGCTGCTTACATAGGGGATTGCCTGGACGACCAACGGCAATTCATGCTCGTCTTCCTCGGGCAGGACAAACTTTTCAAAGGCCTGCCCCGTGCTCCGACCCCATTCACCCACGGCCAAAAATTCTCCCGCGTGAAGAAACCTCCACGGGTCACTCCTTCCCTGGTCCTACCATCCCCTCCATCCGCTACAGAAGATTCAGCTGCTCGCTCTTCTCTCTCCTCCTCCCTTTCTTCAATCTCTCCCAATTTAAACGCCAGCAATACTCCTCGGTTTATCCAGCTGGATTATTTCAATTCCATTTTCCACCTGCTGGGAGGGTTTGGAGCAGAGGCGTTGGAGATAGAGGGGGACGGGAGAGGCGGGAGGAGGGAGATGCGGGTGCGGTCAAGGTTTACAGGTGGTGAGGCGTGCGTGTTTCACCAGCAGGGAAACAAGACGGGTGATCTGGCCATGTTCGATGTGTTCAACGTTACAGGGATGGAGGTGCTGTTTGATTGAACTGCGGGAGGGGTTGGAGGAGGGAGATGCATGTGCGGTCAAAGTTTACAGTTGGTGAGGCGTGTGTGTTTCATCAGCAGGGGAATAAGGCGGGGGAATTGGCCATGTTTGATGTGTCCAACGTTACAGGGATGGAGGTGCTGTTTGATTGAGCTCCGGGAGGGGTGGGAGGAGGGTGATGCTCATACGATTGATGTTCACAGGCGGTGAAGCACGTGTGTTTCATCAGCAGGGGAACAGGCGGGCAATTTGGCCATGTTTGATGTGATTAACATTCCAGGGGTGGAGGTGCTGTTTGATTGAACGCTGACTGTTTGGTTGACCGTGTTGTCGACTGTATGCGTTGAATGGGCAGGTACAAGCATTAGATACCGTAGGCACAGTACAGTGTAGTACTGCTTTGGGTGTGCAGGGGTGGGCAGGCACAGTTCATGAATGGGTGTGCAGCTTTGAGTGGGCAGGGCTCTGTTTCTCCTTTGACTGCCACACATGATGTCTGCTGCTGCAGGCTCAGAGGTACTGCTGGGGCAATCAATGGCAACACATAGATATTGTTTTTGCGTATCTAGTTATGGTATGTTTTCTCTAATTTGAGTCATGTCATGGATGCCTTCTTGTAAATGCCAGGTGAATGCAAGTGCAGAATACAGGTACCCGTATGATTTCCTTGTGTATGCTTTGTAATGCTCATGACAAATCCTGGCTGCATCAGGGTTTGGTTCTTTCCAGTCAGCAATACTTTATTTCCCAGTGTGCATGCGAAACACTACTGCTCCTCTGGTCAAACACTGACCCCCATTGCTATCAGCCATACCGACAAACAGATTTTACAGATGGCATACGGTACAAACATGCAACATTCAAGCAATCACTGCCAAAACCGGCTGGTCAGCAGAGCTCGCCAAGAGCCAAAACTGTAGAGGCACAAACTCCGTGCCTCATCCACCACCACCACATGCAGTTATGTGCCGCTTACACCGCTGCTACCTCTGTCTTCAACCATCCACACATGTAGCACACACACATGTCACACCCGCTGCTGCCTGCCTGTCGTGTCCCTCCAGCTCCATTGCACCGCCGTCAGCCTCAGCCATGCCTCTTCCTTCATCCGTGCACATGCATCTCGCACATGCATCTCACACATGCATCTCACACATGCATCTCACACATGCATCTCACACATGCATCTCACACATGCATCTCACACATGCATCTCACACATGCATCTCACACATGCATCTCACACATGCATCTCGCACATGCATCTCGCACATGCATCTCACACATGCATCTCGCACATGCATCTCACACATGCATCTCGCACATGCATCTCACACATGCATCTCACACATGCATCTCACTCACACATGCATCTCACACATGCATCTCACACATGCATCTCACACATGCATCTCAAACAGCGCCTGTTCCTTCCCACACACACATACCTCCAACCTGCCCTTTTACTTCATGCGCTGCTGCCTGTCATGTGCCTCAAAAACCACTGCTTCCAGTCTCTGTCGCACCTGATCCATCATGTGAGCATACATATTGCACAGAACACACTGATGCTGCCTCCTTCCTGCACCCCCTTACTTCATGCGCCGCTGCCTGTCATGTGCCTCAAAAACCACTGCTTCCAATCTCTGCCGCACCTGCTCCATCATATGAGCATACATGCGCCTTGTCTCCTCACTCCCCACCGCCCTCACATTCTCAATCCTCCTCCTCAACGCTCCTGCCTCCGCCTTCCTGTCTGCCTCCACCTTCCTCTCTACCTCCCTCACCTCCTCCCTCACTTCCTCATTCACAATCCTTCCTTCTCCTGCGCTGTCTCCAGCTCTCGTCTCCAATCTATGGTCAATTCCTTCTCGTTCTGACCGTAACCCACGCTGCATCAGCTCCTGTAACCGCTGAGTCAGCACCTCGGGCGAGTGGATAAGAGCGTCAGCGCCAAATGTCGGCTGCTGGGGCCGCCACGTGGGATCGAGGGGGTAGGCAGGCAAAGCGGCTGTTGTTTGCCTTTCTTGTTGGCAATCGGGGGAAAAGGTAGCTGGGTCGGAAGCAGCATTGCTGGTGTGTCTGCTGTCACTCATACTTCTACTGCTGCTGCTGCTGCTGCTGCTGGAGGTGTCACTGTCACTGCAGCCATCATCAGTGCTGCTACTGCTGCTACTGCTGCTGCTGCTGCTGGTGCTGTGAGCAGAGGCGGAAGTATCAAGCCGAACGGCCTGCTTGGCTTGCTGGCGCAGGGAGGGGAGGTCAAAGGAGAAGGGCTCGCCCACCACCACGCTCACACGCTGGTTCCACAGCGGAATCAACGGCCGCTTGTTGTTGCGGTAGTTCTGCGGGAGGATCTGCAGCATTGATGAGGGGTAAGGGCCATGTGGGATGGACGAAAGAGGGGAGGTCAAAGGAGAAGGGCTCGCCCACCACCACGCTCACTCGCTGGTTCCACAGCGGAATCAACGGCCGCTTGGTGTTGCGGTAGCTCTGAGGGAGAATCTGCATGCAGGGGAGTGAGGGGAGAGACGTAGTTGTTGCAGAGACGAAAAGAGTTTTGCAGCCATAAAGCTCGCCCACCACCACCACCACGCTCACACACACGCTGGTTCCCTGGCAGGATCAACGGGCACTTGCTGTTGCGGTAGTTCTGAGGGAGAATCTCCATGCCGGAGGGGAGGGGAGCGAAGTGGCGATTCGAGAAGTGTTAGAAAGGGAAGAGGCTCGCCCATTGACCAACACGCCCACACACACCACAACGCTGGTTCCACAATGGAGGATCAACGGTCACTTGTTGTTGCCCTCACTCGCATCGACTCAAAAGCATGCTCACACACGTTACAATGCGAGCCGTTCCACAATGGGGGATCAACGGTCGCTTGCTTGTTGTTGCGCATTGGAATTACCCGTGAGCGACACCTTTCCTTCGTGCACTCTCACACGATCCAAGCCGCCCCGCCGTGCTCCACACCACCACACAGATGAGGGACGGCACAACGCAGACCGCATTTAACAGTCATGCAATTGCAATACCCTCACCTGCTCTCCCCCTCATGGCACACCCACCCACTTGATGCCGCTGTGTCCCACGCAGAGGAGGATGGACAGGGGCAGCGAGGGGCACAGGCGGTCCAGCAGACTCGAGTCACGTGGGGTATGGATGGACAAACGTGAAAGAAGGAGTGTTTTGAGACGTCTCAAAACACTCCTTCTTTCACGAGACTCGAGTCACGTGGGGTATGGACAAACCCCCCTTTTTCGCCTTTCCCCATTGCACACCCGCCCACTTGATGCCGCTGCGTCCCACGCAGAGGAGGATGGACAGGGGCAGCAAGGGGCACAGGCGGTCCAGCAGACTGAAGGGTCAAGTGGCGTGCAGACCAGCAGGCATGCCCCCATCCGGCCTTCTCCACACACACACACACTCACCCCCTTTCCTCAACACACACATACCTTCTTCCCCCCCTACCCTACCCACCCCCTTCTTCAACACGAAATCACACCTTCTTTCAACTCACCCGCTCAAGGCCGCTGTGCCCCACCCCACGCAGAGTAGAATGGGCGGGGGCAGCGAGGGGAGAGGCGGTCCAGCCCAGCAGACTGGCGAGTCAAGTGGGACGTTGACCATCGCCCCCCCCCCCCCCCCCCCCCCCCCCCAACACCATCCTGCCGCCTTTCTCCATAATGCACTCACCCGCTCCAAGCCGCTGTGCCCCACACAGAGCAGGATGGGGGGGGGCAGCGAGGGGCAGAGGCGGTCCAGCAGACAACATTAGAATCACCCAGCGACTTGTTGCTCTGTGCACACTCACCCGCTCAAGGCCGCTGTGCCCCACACAGAGCAGGATGGGCGGGGGCAGCGAGGGGCAGAGGCGGTCCAGCAGACTGGCGAGGCCCCACTTGAGGCGCGGGAGGGGGCCGTGCTGCTGTATGATTCTCGCCTCTGGGAAGATGTTGAGCTGTAAACGAAGGGGAAGGGGAGAAGGGGAGGAAAAAGAGTATAAGGCTACTCCAGTTAACCACTTGAGGAGTGGCAGGGGGCCGTGCTGCTGAACTGAATGATGCGCGTCTCTGGGAAGATGTTGAGCTGCCGTGGAGGGGTGGGAAAGGTGGGGGAGGAAGGTTCTGTTGGAACTAGACGTGATTTGATTTGACTTCTGAGGCGGATTAAGCTAGTAAGGTGCTGAATGACGCGTGCCGCTGGGAAGAGGCTGAGCTGCGAATGAAGGGGTTCCAAGGGCACTTCATGGCATAGCATATTGTAGCATCGTGTAATACCACATTCACTCCATACTCCTCTTACACCCACTTGACCCGCCTTCAATACATACCCTTTTTTTGTACAACAGGCGGACTCATTTTGATGTCGTTGCAAACAAAATTGTCGAAGATGTCAAACCGGTGTAGCTGCAGGATTTACCCAGCCGCCCAGGTCTATTTGTAAAAGCTACCCTGCCACCCAGATGTACGTGCGAAACTTACCCAGTCGCCCTGCTGTAACCGCAGCAGCGCCTCGTCCATGCCTGGCTGGAACACTCCTTGGTTGCGCGTTATCGGAATGCTCTTGCCTGCCACGGAGACATGTGTCAGGGCGACATGTGTCAAGGCGACATGTGTCAGGGCGACATGTGTGAGAGCGACATGTGTGAGAGCGACATGTGTGAGAGCGACATGTGTGAGAGCGACATGTGTCAGAGCAACATGTGTCAGAGCGACATGTGTCAGAGCGCTTGAGACGAGTCGAATCAAAAGGCGAAACCAAGTACTTAATGAATGTTATCCGATGAAATGCGAGTAAATGACTGATTCTGAAGATTTACGCATCAAGGATCAGGAGGGAATGATTGAAATCACCGATGCGGAAGACGCAGGGAGGGAATGTCGTACCTATCCTGAAGATGTAGGAGTCGAGGAGGATGCCAGTGAAGCAAATCTCCGAGGCAGTGAGCGTCCAGCGACCTTTGAAGCGCCTCAGAAGTGAAACTCACGAGCCGAGGATCAGAAGGGCGGGAATCAGAAGAGGGGATGTCGTACCGATGCGGAAGATGTAGGAGTCGAGGAGGCCGGTGAAGCAGATCTCCGAGGCAGTGAGCGTCCAGCGGCACAGCTTGGGGTCTCTTATGCGCAGGCCCCTCTGCCCGCCCCACAGCAGCGGATCGTCTATCCTGCGGACGGGCAGGCGAAGCATGGGGTGGGTGAGTGAAAGGCAGAGCATGGGGAGGGTGAGTGAAAGGCAGAGCATGAGGTTGCAGGGAATATCGAGGGATCCGTGATGCGCAGCCCCCCCTGCTCGCCCCACAGCAGCGTGTCTCGTGTTTCTCTATCCTGCAGGCAGGTGGGTAAGATATGGGATGGGTGGGTGACAGGCAAAGCAAGGGGAGAAATGAGGGATTTGCGCGGGGTGCAGGTGAGTTGAGGGGTGCAGGAAAGGCAGGAATGTGCGAACAAGGGAAAACAAGAGACATGTGGAGGACACAAGACGGTGACAGATCAAACCAAGAGAGACACGTGGAGGGCACACGATGGAGACGAATCAAACCAACCCCCCCAAGTGAGAGAAAAGAGAGGGGTTGGGGAAGTGGGCGAGGAGAGGGGCGTGGACGGGAGGTGCGGGAGAGCGGGAGAGCGGGGGAGCGGAAAAGCGGGAGAGCGGGAGAGCGGGAGATCGCGAGCGGCGGGTGCGCGGGTGAGCGGGTTGGAGCCAATCGTACGTTGCCATGTGGTTGCTGACGGTGATGAGCGGCGTGCCAGCTGGCCGAGAGTTTACGAGATCCAGCAGCGTCTGCTGATTGGTCACCTCCATGCGATTCAGGACGTTCATGTAAAAGTACGACATCGAGCTAATTGTTGCTATCGCCACGCGCCTCGGAATGCCGAACAGGTGCGACGCCTCCGCGGGAGGCGCCAAGGCTTCGGAGATCCAGGAACTCGCGCCGCGCCGGCCTTGCGTAGCTGCCGCCGCCGCTGCTCGAGCCGCGGCCGACGCGGCTGCGGAGACGAGCGGCTTGGAAGCTCGCACGCCGTTGCTCATGGTCGCTGCGCTTCGACGTCTCTTCGATCGTCGGTTCGTGAATACGCGCTTCCCGTTTAAACGTTCATCCTGGAAAGGTCAGGCGTTCGTTTTACGCTTTAAAATCAGAACGTGGCATTTACATCGGACTGCCTCAGGTGATTGGATGTACACAGGTGAAGATTCGGTATAGCGTAACGCGGGGAAGTAATAACTCCGAAAGCTTCCAATCCGTGAGGCTCCTCAGTAGCACATAAATTCTTGCGCCATTCCGTTAGAGATCGAAACACGATCTAAAGCGCGAGACCAGGGCTTCACCTCTTCGCTGCCAGGATGACGGCAGGCACTGAGATCAAAAGATATGCCGTGAGAGAACGTAGGTTCCGACCGAGGAGGGACGCGGCTGGGATGAGAAGCTTTCAACTGCTACTTCTGCTCCCTCCATATAACTCCGCTTCAGTCATAAGGGCGTGTTACATTTTCTAGCAGCGGCTAAAATCCGGACAACCGTCCGAGAACGGTTCAGATTCCGAATCTCGGGCAGTCCGGGTCCAACGTCCAGACTAAACCTCGTCCGACGTTGTTTATGAAACATTTTCAACCTGACGAAATTCAGAGTATTCGCTAGGTTGCAACCATGATCACGACGAGATTTCGATAAGGGTAACACTCAAGGGACTGAAAGACTCTAATCGTAGACCAATATGCTTACTGTTACGCCCGTCCACTTATCGAACTGTATTCGTCCGGTCGAGCTGGGAAGGCAATTCACGCAAAATGTTCCATCATCGGTCCGATCGTTAACAGCGTCGCAAGTGGTCTAGCGAGGAAACTGACGAAGGTATACGACAACGGTAACCGCTAAAAAGTCCGGACGACTGCTCGTCCGGACGGGCTGAAGTAAAAAATGTAACACGCCTTTAGTTGGCAATACCGAGGTCTGTGTTTTAGTGGTGGGATGGCCCGATAACACCAAGAGCGAGAATCAGCCAATCAGGAAAAAACATCTGGAATCTAAGAGTGAAACTTGGCCCATACAGGTTTCGAACCTGTGACCTTCGCGTTATTAGCACGACGCTCTAACCAACTGAGCTAATGGGCCTGTCTATACATATTAAAACTATTTTATTATTTCAATTACTTTCCGCACACGTCTGTATATCGGCTCCTCCACATTCTAACAGCTTTCCAACGTCAGCAATCTTGCAGATGTGCGCGTATCGTAGCCGTTAACGACGACGTGCCAGGTACCGTCCGATCTAGGGTAGCGACTTTCCCGCAAGCTCCTGTCACCAACTTTTTCTCCGCTCCATTCCTTCTTTCCAAGTTCTGCTGTTAGCAGCCGCGGCCAATAGGATTTCCGAGGGGGGAGCGGGTAAGGGGATGAGGACGGATGGGAAAGACGGCAAGGACGGCAAGGACGGGGAGCATGGCGAACACTCGAGAACGCATTCGATGAAGAAGAAGATGGGATCGGTGCTCGGATGGGCGGCCAGGATTCTCCCGCAGTCCACCAGCGGCGGCAAGGGGCTCGGCGCGGAGCGGCGGAGCGAGAGCGAGGTGGAGCGGCGCGTGGTGGAGGCGCTGCGGCGGCGGAGAGAGGAGGAGGAAGCTTCCGGGAAGAAGCGCATCGTGCATTTCAATACGCTGGTGATGAAATTTGCCAAGTCGGACGAGGCGTTCAAGCAAATCCGCAAGCAGTTCGACCAGTACGGTGCGCGCTCCCAGCCGCATTCTCGAAGGATTAGATTCTAGGACAATCAGAGTATAGGAGAGCTAGACTTTTGGAGGACGTAATTCTAGGAGGTTATGTTCCCACGATTTAGGTCCCACAATTTCTGTCCCACGATTCACGTAGTTCCACGATTGGGAGCCTAATCTTTCGCCTTTGTAGTTCCACACCTGCCGCTGCAACGCTCCGCAGACGCATTGAGTTTGCAGCCGCGCTGAGTGTGAAAGATTGCTCTTCCCTCCCTTCTCTCTCCCCCCCCCTTCTCTCTCCCCCCCCCTTCTCTCTCCCCCCCCTTCTCTCTCCCCCCCCCCCTCTGACTTTTGAGTCGACTCAAAAGTCACCTAGATTGCTCTTCCCTCCCTTCTCTCTCCCCCCTCCCCCTCTTCCCCGCTTTCCCCTTTCCCCCTCCGAGCAGACAATGACGCAAGCCAGTCGATTGATCTGGAGGAGCTGCGAGCCTGCACTTATCCCCCACCAGCTCCCACCAACCTCCAACCCCCATCAACCCCCACCATCCCCCTCCAACTCCCTCCAACCCTTCCCCCCTCCATCACCGCCCTCCTTCCCCTACAACAGACAAGGACGCGAGCCAGTCGATTGATCTGCACGAGCTGCGGACGTGTCTGGCGGCGCTGGGCGTGCGGATAGAGGAGGAGGTGATGCAGCTGTACCGCGAGGCCGACATGGATGGACTGCTGCTGTCCTCCCCCCCCTCCCCTCAACAGACAAGGACTCCAGCCAATCAATCAATTGACCTGGAGGAGCTGCGGACGTGTTCCCCTTTTTCCCCCGTCCCCCACCGTGTCCCCCACTACCCCCCCCCCCCTCCCTTCAACAGACAAGGACGCGAGCCAATCAATTGACCTGGAGGAGCTTCGAACGTGCCTATCAGCGCTGGGCGTGCAGATAGAGGAGGAGGAGGTGATGCAGCTGTACCGCGAGGCTGACATGGACTGCTGTGATGGCGTGCACTTCAAAGAGTTCATTCTGCTGCTCGCGCTGCTCTACCTGCTGCAACCAAACGTACGTGTGGCTGTGGGTGTTATACGCATGTGTAGCTGTTGGGGTTGAACGTACGTTTAGCAGCCGTGGAAGGAAGTGCGAGTTGGGTATTAGGTGGGACCAAGGGCCTATGTGGGTATGGCTCGCCGCTGCACCGCGAGGCTGACATGGACTGCTGTGATGGCGTGCACTTCAAAGAGTTCATTCTGCTGCTCGCACTGCTCTACCTGCTGCAACCCAACGTACGTGCTGTGTTGGACATGCGTTAGAGGTATTTGCGTCTGCTCTCTCTCTCTCAAATGCCTCGGAATCGGGACTGGAAATGACTTGTGCGTGTGATGGCACGCACTTCAAGGCGTTCATCCTGCTGCTCGCGCTGCTCTATCTCCTGCAACCCAACGTACGTGCGGGTTGTTAGGCGCAATGTGTTGCTTCCGGAGACTGCTGTTCTCACCCCGTATGCTCACCTCTTATGTTCCGTTGGTGCTTCCTTCTTTCACCAGGCACACTTTGGTCTGCCAGAGGTGGAGGAGGCGTTTGAGCTGATAGCGGACGCGTTCAACTTCTTTAATGCACAGGGAGACCTTCCTCCCTTACTCCCCTCATACACTCCCGCCACATGCTCGGTTGTTGCTTCCCCTGCAGGCGCACTTCGGTACACCAGAGGTGGAGGACGCGTTCGGGCTGATAGCAGACGCGTTCAACTTCTTTGACACCACGGGGGAGGGCTTTCTCACACAGGCCAAGGTGCAGGCAGCCATGACCACTGGCAGGGACTCCTCCCCCAGCCGCATCGCTGGGCAGAGATTTGGTAAGAAGAGAGGCTGGGGACCTGGGGTATGTGTGTGGGTGGGTGGGTGGGTGGGTGGGTGGGTGGGTGGGTGGGTGGGGATATTGAGACAATAGGGCAAGGCCGGTGGGCTTTCTCTTGCAGGCCAAGGTGCAGACCAAGGTGCAGGCCGCCATGAGCAGCGGCAGAGACTCCTCCCCCAGCCGCATCGCTGGGCAGAGATTCGGTGAGTGCTGGGGGGAGTGGGTGAGAGAAATGGGCCGGAAGAGAGAGTGGTGGAAAATGGTTGGGGCATGAAGGATTTCTCACTCAAGCCAAGGTGCAGGCCGCCATGAGCAGCGGCAAAGTCTCCCCGCCCAGCCGCATCGCCAGGCAGAGATTCGGTGAGGGAGTAGGGTCACACAACCCTGGGCTGTAAGGGAGTAGGGTCACACAACCCTGGGCTGTAAGGGAGTAGGGTCACACAACCCTGGGCTGTAAGGGAGTAGGGTCACACAACCCTGGGCTGTAAGGGAGTAGGGTCACACAACCCTGGGCTGTAAGGGAGTAGGGTCACACAACCCTGGGCTGTAAGGGAGTAGGGTCACACAACCCTGGGCTGTAAGGGAGTAGGTTCTCACAACCCTGGGCTGTAAGGGAGTAGGGTCACACAACCCTGGGCTGTAAGGGAGTAGGGTCACACAACCCTGGGCTGTAAGGGAGTAGGGTCACACAACCCTGGGCTGTAAGGGAGTAGGGTCACACAACCCTGGGCTGTAAGGGAGTAGGGTCACACAACCCTGGGCTGTAAGGGAGTAGGGTCACACAACCCTGGGCTGTAAGGGAGTAGGGTCACACAACCCTGGGCTGTAAGGGAGTAGGGTCACACAACCCTGGGCTGTAAGGGAGTAGGGTCACACAACCCTGGGCTGTAAGGGAGTAGGTTCTCACAACCCTGGGCTGTAAGGGAGTAGGTTCTCACAGGGAACAGCTTCCTGGCGCAGGCCAAGGTACAGCACACCATGAGCAGCGGTCAGCACTCCTCCCCAGGGCAGAGACGTGTGAGCGCTGGGGATGGTGTGGGTGAGAGAGGAGAGGGTGAGAGAAATGCTACAGAGGGGAGGGTGCAAGGAGGGCGTGCGAGGAGGGTGTGCAAGGAGAGGGTTGGGTTTTGAGCTCTGAGATGGGATTCAACTGGACAGGCAGTATCTGTCAATGCGTTCTTGTTTGCCTATCTCTCTGTTTCCTTTGCTCTCGTTCTCGTTTGATTCTCCCTTTCACAACTCGATCAATCACACCCTCATCACCATTATCTCATGTAGCAGCTGCATCAGGAGGAGCACCACCAGCAGCAGCAGCAGAAGACATCTCTCTACCACCACCAGCACATCTACTGTTCCTGCTGTCCCACACCCACGGAATGAGTGCACTCTATGGGTGTGGGACAGGAGAATAGTAGATGTGCTGCTGGTGGTGGTAGCGAAACGTCTTCTACTGCTGCTGGTGCAGGTGCTTCTCCTGATGGTGTTGTCCTCCGAGATGGACTACAACGCGGACGGGCAGTGCACGATCAAGGGATTCCTGCTTGCCTGTCTCTCTGCCTCCCTTCCTGATTGCCTGTCTCTCTGCCTCCCTTCCTGATTGCCTGTCTCTCTGCCTCCCTTCCTGATTGCCTGTCTCTCTGCCTCCCTTCCTGATTGCCTGTCTCTCTGCCTCCCTTCCTGCTTGCCTGTCTCTCTGCCTCCCTTCCTGCTTGCCTGTCTCTCTGCCTCCCTTCCTGATTGCCTGTCTCTCTGCCTCCCTTACTCTCATTCTCTCTCACATGCACACGCTTTCTCTCCCTCACACTCGCTCACCCCGGGTTACCAGCCAAGATGGACTACAACCCGGACGGGCAGTGCACGTTCTCTCGTTTCCTCCCTATATCTGTCTCGCTCGCAATCTTACGCACCCACGCGCCATCCGGGATGGACTACAACACGGACGGGCAGTGCACATTCAAGGAGTTCCTGTTCGCCCATTCCTCTCCGTCTTTCTGTTTACCTTGCTCCCTCACTTCCTTACGCACATTCGCTCCTGATTCACCAGCTGAGATGGATCAACTCTTCACCAGCTGGGTTGATGGATTCACTCTTACACATTCTCACCCTCCCCCTGACCCACCTGCAGCTGAGATGGACTACAACACGGACGGGCAGTGCACGTTCAAGGAGTTCCTGTTCGCCTGTCTCTCTGCCTCTTTTACTGTCTCCCTTACCCTCCTTCCTCTTTACCTCTTTCCCTTATCACTTCCTTGCGCACATTCACTCACGTTCCACCAGCGGAGATGGACTACAACACGGACGGGCAGTGCACGTTCAAGGAGTTCCTGTTCGCGTATGTGGGGTGGGTGGGCACTGCGGAGGAGGAGGAGGACGAGGAGGAAGAGGAGAAGGAGGAGGAACGTAGCAAAACCCCTAAAACCCCAAAGACGCCCAAGTCCCCCAGCAAGTCTCCTAAGTCTCCCAAGTCGCCCCGCACTCCCAGGCATTCGGGGGGGCATAGATGAGGGAGAGAAGATGGAGTGTGAGAATGAGTGAGAGGAGACCATGGGACGAGAATGAGGTGGGAGGGTTTATTGCACAGGGGATGTGGCACACATGTTCCTCTCTGCACCTCTTGGCATCACTCTCCACCACTCTCTACCACTCTAGTGTCACTCAGGGGGGTTGCAGCGGCTGCTAATGCAACGGGTAGGAAGGTGAGAAACTCCTGCCGAGAGATCAATGGAGGAGAGAAGCTGACTAGCAGCAGCAGGATCTCCAGCAGCAGGGGGATGGCGGGGAAAATGGCGTGGTTTAGAGTGTGCATGTGCTGCCGTGGGAGCAAACAGGCAGTTGGTGGTGGAAATGGAAAAGCAGCGGGATGGCTGGCAACAGCAGAATGGCTGGCGAAATGCCGTGATTTGTAGGGCTTGATGTGCTGCCTCGGGAGCAAGTTGAGCAGCGAGGAGACGCAGGGCAGGCATGAGTTATTACCTTGTAGGGCTTGACACCAGGAGACGAGGGGGGGGGAAAGCGCATTGCTGTCCTCCTCTTGACAAGGCTTGTGAGGTTGGGAAGGGGGGCTGGGGAGGGGGGGAGAGTGTAGAGAGGAAAATATTGGCCGAGTCTGTGGAAGTGGTTTGATGACTCTCAAGGGGTGTGCTGGATCAGCAAAAGGGAGCAGATGTTCGGTGAAGGACGGTGAAGGGTGGTGAAGGACAGTGAAGTGAGGAATTGTGAGGGAGACACGCTGTGCTTTGGTGTGACAGTCACCTAGTGCCATGCACAATTCTGTGTGCGGGGCGGCATTCAGGCGGTGTTTTCGAGAATCTAAAAATACAGTGGCATGCCATGCACAATTGTGTGTGAGCAGCATTTTTTTTTCTCGTAAAATTCCATTATTTTGATGGTAGGGGTTGTTTGTTTGATGCCAAACTTCTTTACAAGTGATAAGGTGGTTGAGCACATTCACACGGTATAATAACCTGTATCATCTTCATCATTCCCACCCCTTCCATACATGTAAGGAAAATCACTTTCCTTACTTCGCATCCCTGCTTAATGCATACATCACTGTAGCGCCTCAGTCAGCACCGTTACCACTCGCGATCCTCGCATCGACAATCACCCCGCCATTTTCGCACATCGCACCCCAACCTCACGGCTCGGCTGGTAACCCGCGCTCCGGGCCTCCGCTTCGACATTTTCCAAACAGGGCTCTTGCTAGGATCTGAGGGCGTCTGATTCTGTCAGACAGGTCCCCCAGGCAAAACAATTGTTTTGTCTGATCTAGATTGGAAAATCAGATGGATATAAAAAAATTAGTCCGAAAATCAGACCATCAGACCAAAATGGTCTGATAACGAGAGCCCTGTTTCCAAACCTCAATCCCAGGCTCGTCGCGCGACAACCACAGTTCATTACCGTTACCACTGTAGTTTCGATATATATTCTTCGCTCATGCCTTCGCTCATTGTATTCTTGCTTAGATAGTGCAATTCTCGTTCGTTCACTCAATTGCACTCGTAACACTTGGTATTCAGATCCTACGATCTCATCTCGGACCGCATCCACACCTTCGCTTCCCCACTATCTCAATTTTTTTGGGGGGGTAGACGTCTCTTAGCGATACAGCACCGCCGCTCGTAGTGCTCTCTCGTAAGCACGCTCGGCCACGACCGAGGCTCTCGCTGAGCTTGCCCGACACCCCCGCCATGGCCGATTTCACGCTCGCCACATTAACGCAGGAGCAGATTGATCGTCTCGTGCGTCAGCTGGAAGATTCGGCGCTCGAAATCGCGACGCTCACGGCGGAACGTGACTCCGCCCGTCAACAGTCCACGGTGAACATTCCGGCGACATCACACGCACCAACAAATGCATCTGCACAATCGGACGAGCCGATCATCATCGCGTCCGGCACACCAACACAACACGACAGCAAGGGACAACGCTCAGGCGCAGCCAGTGACGGCGCCGCCCAGCCGATGCCTGGCATGGGAGGAGGCAAGATCGCACCAAGCCCGCGGGAGCCCCGGGAAGCCCGTCGGCACGTGGAATTTGCGGCGATAAGTGGCGAATGTCAGAACATTGTAGCTTACTTGTTTGTGTAGGCTATAGTGGGGTATCCCATAGGGGGTACAACCCAATTAGGGTTTCCTATTTGTACTCACCTCGTTCGTAGTCAACTCATTCACGTTTCTATTTTCACATGGAATCAGAGCAGGTCCCATCCTAGGGACTGTTCTCTAGGGCCCACCGAAGCGCGCCCCGAGGCGCGCGCTCTTTTTTCTCGCGACCCTCCGTGTCGCCCTTCCCCTCGCGGCCCCGCCGCCTCCTCGACGCGGCCCCGCCGCCTCCTCGACGCGGCCCCGCCGCCTCCTCGACGCGGCCCCGCCGCCTCCTCGACGCGGCCCCGCCGCCTTCTCGACGCGGCCCCGCCGCCTCCTCGACGCGGCCCCGCAGCCTCCTCGACGCGGCCCCGCCGCTTCCCTACCTGCGGCCGTCCCGCCGCCCTGCCTGCGGCCGTCCACCGCCCTGCCTGCGGCCGTACCGCCGCCCTACCTGCGGCCCACTCGCCGCCCTACCTGCGGCCTACCCGCCGCCCTACCTGCGGCCTACCCGCCGCCCTACCTGCAGCCGTCCGCCGCCCTACCTGCGGCCGTCCCGTCGCCCTACCTGCGACCTACCCGCCGCCCTACCTGCGACCGTCCCGCCGCCCTACCTGCGGCCGTCCCGCCGCCCTACCAGCGGCCTACCCGCCGCCCTACCTGCGGCCGTCCGCCGCCCTACCTGCGGCCGTCCCGCCGCCCTACCTGCGGCCCACCCGCCGCCTTACCTGCGGCCCACCCGCCGCCCTACCTGCGGCCCACCCGCCGCCCTACCTTCGCGACCCGGCCGCCCTACCTACGCGGCCCAGCGGCAGCCGAGCCGCCCAGCAGCAGACGAGCCGCCGAGCCGCCCAGCAGCAACCGAGCCGCCCAGCAGCAGCTGAGCCGCCCAGCAGCAGCCGAGCCGCCCAGCAGCAGCCGAGCCGCCCAGCAGCAGCCGAGCCGCCCAGGAGCAGCCGAGCCGCCCAGGAGCAGCCGAGACACCCAGCAGCAGCCGAGCCGCCCAACAGCAGCCGAGCCGCCCAGCAGCAGCCGAGCCGCCCGGGAACCGAGCCGCCCAGCAGCCTAGCGGCCGTGTCGTCTGGCGACCTTCCTCCTGAGCCGCCCGACCTGCCCTGCCCGGTGAGCACTGCACTGCTGTCACTGCGTACCCTTCCCCTACTGCTTGCACTGCGCCACTGTCGTCGTCATGGCTACACCCACTGTCCTCACTTTTGACGCTGAGGGTCGAGCCATTGACTTTGAGGTCTGGCTCGACGACCTGCAGCTGTTTTTACAGTGCGACAGGGCCGAAAGTCTTTCTCTCTTTGACCTCACCTCTGGCGCTGTCCCTGCCCTGCTGCTGATGCTGACGCCACTGTTCGCTCTCAGTGGGCCACGCGCGATGCTGCTGCACGTCTTGCTGTGCGTCGCCACCTGCCTACCGCTGAGCGCGCGCACTTTAGCCAGTACAAGAGTGCTCAGACCTTGTACGACGCTGTAGTTGCACGCTACTCCTCCCCTGCCACTGCTGCACTGAGCCGCCTCATGCTCCCCTTCCTCTTCCCTGACCTTGCCGCCTTTCCCACTGTCGCTGATCTCATCACGCACCTCCGCACTAGTGACACTCGCTACCGCGCTGCACTTCCTGCTGACTTCTGCGCCGAGAACCCCCCCCCCATGTACATCACTCTCTACTTCCTAGTCACTCGCCTCCCTGACTCCCTTCGTGTAGTCCGGGACCACTTCCTTGCGGTCTGTCCCACCACCCTCACCGTCGACAGCCTCGAGAAGGCCCTTCTTGCAGCAGAGAAGAGCATAGTTGCTGTAGGAGCCTCTCGAGGTGACCCCCGCGCCCCCATCTTTGAGGGGTGTTCTCCTTCCCCTCTCCTGCCCTCTGTTGCCTCTGCCGCTGCGGCCGACCTCGTTGGTCTTGAGTCGGTCGGTGCGGCGTCTGCCCCTAGCGGGAGACGCCGCTCTGGCAAGGGCAAGGGGGGCAAGGAAGCGGGTGGGGCCAGTGGGGGCGGTGGCGGTGGGGGTGGAGGCGGCGGAGGGAGTGGGGGTGGCGGTGGAGGTGGTAGTGGGGGTGGGGGTGCTAGTGGCAGCGGTGGCGGCGGGAGTGGCGGCGACGGTGGCGGTGGTAGCGGAGGTGGCGGAGGTGGCGGCGGTGGAGGTGGGGGCGGGGGCGGTGGAGGCGGAGGCGGGGGTGGCGGAGGTGGAGGTGGTCGGAGTGGGGCTTCGCAGCGGAGCGGCACTGGTGGCGGTCAGCGCCAACAGCAGCAGCAGCAGCAGCAGCAGCAGCAACGTTCTCGCGACGTCCTCACCCCCCAGCAGCTCCGTGAGTGGTACACGCAGCGTCAGCGCGGTGGGGGTTTTGGTCCCTGCACCTACGTTCTCCGCACTTGCGACCGCACTGGAGAGCAGTGTGGGGGTGCCCACCCCGCTCAACGCTGCTTTGGCCGCCTGACAGACGCTTGGCGTCAGCAGTTCCCGGAGGCCGCGGAGATCCCCCGCTGGGGAGAGCTGTCTAGGGCTGGTGTAGCTATCTTTGATCTTGATTTTGATGCTATCCTTGCTGCCATGTATGCTGTGACCACTAGTGAGGAGGGTGACTGTTACCGGTGTTTCCCGCCCAACCCGGGCATTGGTACTGCTGCTCCAGGTGCCGGTGAGGCTTCTGCTCTAGGTGCCAGTGCGTCTGTACTCTCAGGTACTCGTGAGACTGCTCTCTCAGGTACTAGTGCGTCTGCGCTCTCAGGTACTGCGTCGGCTTCGGCCTCCCACACCTTCACTCTTGACTCTGGAGCGTCTCGCTCTTTCTTTCGGGACCGCACCACACTTACGCCGCTTAGTCGGCCGGTTGCGGTTTCCCTGGTTGACCCCTCTGGGGGTCCTGTCCTGGCTCGCTTCTCCACGGTCCTCCCGTGTCCGGCGGC